TTCCCTGCCTGCAAATCTCTTCGTAACGCTGCTTGAAATCGGTTGTTTTCTTGTCGAATTGAAAATGATCCAGTCTCTCGCAATCTATTAAATGTCAACATAAACACTCTTCGGTTTGGCACTCTTCTGTTTGGAAATCGTCGTGCATATTCTCGCACCGCCTTTAAAGCATTACCGTTGCAGAAACCGTATACAAAAACCATATCAGCATATTCACTATTAGAATACGTACGCGGCATATTGCAAAAGACAAAATTCATCTACTGTTAAAGGCTTTCAAAGAGCGACTGACAAATTCATAACAGAAAGTGGAAAATGTAATCAAATATGTCGGTGCTAGATATGGCAAGAAATGTAAACATTTTTTTTCGATTTCTCTGAAACGGAGCAAAAACGAGCATATGTTTATAGGACTTTTTTTCTTAGTTTTTTACTCCTCTACACGCTCCCGAAGTTTTGCGATTTAATTTGGAAACACCCTGTATATATCTATTGTTACGCAAGCATGCGAACTAGGTGTAAAATCAAAATGTAATAATCATATAAATCTTATTCTGTAAATCGTTTCGTTTTAATTTTATTGAAAATCGTAAATTAATATAACGGATATTTACAATACAATGTAAACGGTCTGTGGTAAACCCTATCTCCATTGTCTTGTTAAATATATAAATTTATATTACATTGGTGTTTTTCAAATCTATCTAAATACTGCTGTAATTCTTTATTTTTAATTAGATTTAACATATAATTAATCTTTTTGCGTTAGAATGGAAAACCAATGTGGGATCCTAAATTTTATACAACGCTATCTACGACCGAAATGATACGTATTTTCCGAGGTGATGACAACATTGTCATTCCACGCATATCTCGAAGATTAATAATTTTGCATGAAGTTGGAAAAGTTTTGTTGAACTGCTACGATGGTATAAATTATCACATGATAAAATTTCATATGTATATTTTTTCCTATTTTTACATACATATCTTTACGTACATAAATTAGTATCATTTTTGTTCATTTGACATATGTATATCATTCGTTCAGATCTTTCTTTTATTTTTTTTCACACACAAATACACACACACACACACACACACACACACACACACACACACACACACACACACACACACACATATACACAAAGAGAAAAAGTTCTCTGTTGAAAATATTAAAGTATTGTTAGATATTTTATATTATTATTGTTAGATATTTTTAGTTTTATATATTCAAGCAATTTATATTTTACATTAAAAAATGTTAAATCGTATTACAAGTATTAAAGTGGAAATGTCAAGAAAAATTAATGCAAATAGAACTCTTTGTTGAGAAATAGACATTATTACAGAAAAAAAGAAAAGAAATTATGTAAATTGTGACTTGAAATCAATATTTCTCAAATATTATTCTCAATTATCTTGGTGAAAATAAAAATTGGAGTGTATAAAGTTGAAAAAATGTAAATGAAACTTTTAGAAAATGAAAATTGGAACAACAAAATATAAACGTTTCGTCGTCCCAATTTTTACTTCCTAGAAACTTCCTAACAAACATTAAGTAACAGTTACATAATTGTTAGTTGTTAAATTGTTAATTTCCTACTTAACAATATAACTGCAATACATATTGTGTAATACAATTGTAACACATATGTTATATTAGTTATAATAAGATTGAAAGACCGCTAATGTTAAACATAATAATTTTAAATTAAGAAGCGCCAAAACATTTAAATGAATTTACAATAGTTCAACATCTTAACGTTCTGACCGTTATGGCGCTTCTTAATTTAAAATTATTATATTAGTTATATTGTTGAATTTACAACTAACAATTATATACTAGTATAATTGCTACTTAACGTTTGCTGGATGTTCACTTCTGCTTTTTTCTCTTATTTGACTGAAACACTTCAACTTTTATATTCGCCAGGATAAAAGATGACTCAAAATAAGAAAGAGATCTTGGATAAATTATATTGGAAAAATATATAGTTTTCTCTCTCTCATTGATAAACCTTATATATTTAACTGATTGATAAGATTTTGATTTATTACAGGTACTTTCGCAAATTGTATTAAATCATGTGAACACGATGCCATTAAGTTGATGGTCACAATTCACGATAAATTCCCGTCATATCGGGACATAACAAAATACGGCGAACGATTAGGTATTTATTATCGATTAATAGGGAGTTTTTGCAATAATATTTATCCAAATACGGTGAACGCTAAAGTCACGTTATCCTTTTCTTGATTAGTTGTTAAGAAGAAGATAACCTGACCTTAGCGATGAAGAGTATGCGATATTATACAAGGTGTTTCCTGCAACTTGATTATTAAGATATACATATATCTCCGTTGTCTTTGTTGATACAAGAAAATAATACATGGGATTTTGTTCAATTCGAAGGGATATATATTATGATAAGCAAAAAATTTTTAGATAAAGATCAACAAGAATGCTTTTGTATGTCACAAGTCATTTTAATTATTATATTAGAATGCGAAGTTTATACGGGATAAAAGCCCATACAACACACATACAAACACAGAAAAATGTAAAACAGTAAGATGTAAGCAGTAAACGAATCAGCTAATTATAACAGAGAACGTAAGGTAATAACGTAAGCAAATCCAAAATGTTGCTTATCGCTTATATCTTACTATTTCTGTTTTTTTTTGCCGCAGCCTCAAATTTCTCTACAAAATTTCCTAAATATAAATCGTTTTTATTGATTAATGAATGTTATACAATTATAATGCTGCACATTATTTTTGTGATCAATTCCAAAGTAATATATTACATTTGTGATATACACTCTTTAAATTATTTGGAGTGAACTCTCACTCTAAAAGAGTGAAAATTGAGCCATTTTTGAAAAAAAAGACTCAATTTTCAATCTTCGAGAGTGAGGTTTCACTGTTTAGTATGAATTCACTCTAAAAGTTTTAGAGAGCTTATAGAAATTATAATTATATTATAATTATAATTTCGTAATATAATAAGCTTTCCACAAACTTCCTTTCAGTTCAATTGTACACTAAGGCTTGGACATTGGTAGCCGACATATGGGCCTACTTTGACCAGGAACATGAACTTTGGATTGAAATAAAAGGAATAAAGTATTCTACAATATTCGTTGATTATCGTATGCTTCAGGTTTTCAGTCATTTCAATGTTCTTGTTTACAGTAAAAAATTCTCGGACGCACTCAAAAAAGAGGGTAAGGCATTTATTACTTTTTATCAATAACATATCCTCTGTTTTTCATTGAAGATTTTTTACGTTATTTCATTCTCTGAATATTGTATTTAATATATAAAAATTACATTGCAGAATACAAGTAATTATTTATCGTGAAATATATTGTTTTTCTTATCTGCTTCTATCGCTCTTCTTGTTTATATAAAAAGAGAGATTTATTCAGATTATTAACCCTTGAACACCACACTGGGTTACGGTAATCCAGTCCAGGGTTAATTTCACTCACAATCAACATATCAACATGTATAATTTATTTTTGTTTTTAACATTTTACAAATGTTATATTATATTATCATACTCATTCTATTTATTATATTATACCATATGGTAAATATTGAAAACAAACGAATTCACCTCCAATAACATATATTGTCAAAGTCCTGCGTGATCCTCGGAAGGTTTTAGCTCGCACTCGCTATTCGTTCAAAAGTTATTAACAAATAAAATTGACAATATAAATGTGTATTTATAATTGTATATTTTTATATTATAATTATCATAAATAACAATATTCCCACTTTTCCTCCTGTTACGGGGCGTGCGACTTTCTACGCGAATCGAGGTCCACCTCACATTTCACAATCAGATAAGAGTTAGATTAGGTTGGATTAGATTTGGATTAAATCGAGCTGGGAGTGCAGGGAAAGGGGCGGAGCTCCTCAATGTCGAAGTCATTGGAGATGTCCGTCGTTTTTAATATTTACTTATTATATTTTTCTTACTGTATTAATTACGATATTTTATATAAACATTTATATATAAGAGATACTTTTTATGTATATGTAAGAAATACTTATTTATCATATATAGTAAAACTTGTGTTTTCTTGTAGTCAAATTCTTGACACATGGGAGCAGAGAAGAATTAGAGATACGCTGTTGTTCACTCATGATAGTAAGATATCTGCATCAAATGTTGATGAAAATGTTCGAGCAAAAGAAAATAAGACGAATACCCGAATTAGAGTTGCCAAGTTTCGATTATACGTGCTTGCTTGACAACTTTCTGTGGGACTATCGACAAGTACATGATGAGCAATTGAAGAAGAATGTATTATGCAAGATCTACACTGAGAACTATTAGAACAATTTGTTATAAATCGTATTTCAGATAATACGTTTTCTCACATTTTATTCGTATCGTTTATGTTATAAACACTTTTCCAAAATAATGGAAAGGAAATCTAACGCGATCGATTTTGACTTTATATCTCTGTAAATATCTTTTAGGTGTCTTTCCCGTGTCTTGTTTTTAAATATTGCCTGAGATATCATTATTAATTATAAACATAATAATTACACAGGTCTACAAAAAAGGGGGTCTTGGATGTTGTCGGGAAGCTGTGGGTCATTTCCGAAGTAATTTTCTGCGTAGAATCCGAATCTGAAACCAGAATTGGCCCATCACGTCAGGATTTTGAGATATTAGGGGATATATACTCGAAAAATGCGTTTTTATGCTACTTTAGAGGTTATGTACAGGACGCAACCAATTTTTTGGGTCTTTTGTGCTATTTGCATCATTTAGTAATATTCTTACCCTTCAAAATGAGATATTGATCGACTACCTACGATTTTTTTTCGCCAAGTTACGGGCATTTTAACCCACTTGCGTAACCGTTTTTCCCGTCTTTTTCGTTCCTGTTCTTAACAAACGTGAAACGACCACAAATATAACAAAAACTGTTAGGATCATTTAAACACTTACGCGGGGCCATTGTTAAGACAGCAAACAGTCACAATTGTGACTGTTTATATATTAGGACCTTGAATAACGGACAGCGCGTCTTGTGCGCTGCGGCTCTGAGTGCAAGGCGTCTACCAACTTTAAACAAATCATTAGTTTTAAACTTATTAATGCAATGAAAATGAAACTTTCCAGAACATTTGTTCATATCCGAATGAACAACTTTCTCGCTGAAAGTTTTAGGATGCTCGAAATTCGCTCGATAAACGAAGCACCTGAATGCATAAAAAAGGATATTTTGCAGGTGTGTATAAAAAAAATAATAAGTTGTTTGTTTATTGACAAATATCGGTTTTTCTTTCTTCACTAGACGTGGAAAACTCTAATGATCATAACTTCGAAAATAGCAAAAAAACGCATTTTTCGAGTATATATCCTCAAATATCTCAAAATCCTGACGTGATAGGCCAATTCTGATTTCAGATTCGGATTCTACGCAGAAAATTACGTCGGAAATGACCCACAGCTTCCCAACAACAAAACCTTGTTGACCTGTGTTATACATATATATAGATATATACATATATACATAATTTTAAAAATACTGAATTCTAATATTTTTAGAAAGTTAATTCTATTAAACACTGACGTATATAAAGAATTTCAATGTTACTTTTGCTTGTTACGCTTCGTAGGGAATATAAAAAAATGTATTATTTTTCCTTATTTCCATGTATTCGTATGATTATTATAATTAAAGTTTAATTTTAATAACAAAATACACTCGTCAACAAAATTATCGCATAAGTAAATTTATATCAAAATATCACATAAATTCGAATAACTCCGCGAAAAATGGTCGTATTAAGTTTTTTTTTCATTCTCAAGGGTAAAGTCTATAATTTACGAAGCTTTTAATGGATTTTGAATCTACCCTTACCCCTTTCGGGCGTCTTTTAAAAAATAAGGACGTGTTTTTTTTTTTAAGAAATTTGCATAGTTTGACACACTCTACGGGGTGGAGTAATTTTTTTCGCAAATGTCATGATAATCGCCGTAAAATGGATTTTTCTCTTACAAATTAAAAAAAAATTAAGCTTCGTATGATTTTTTTTTTTTTGAAGATCCGACCAGCGACCTCCTCGTGGTGCGCATCAGGTAGTGTTAATGCTGGCGGTAATTGAGTAAAATGCATATAAGTTTGATACACTGTATCTTAAAAAAAAAAATCGTACAAAGCTTAATTTTTTTTTAATTTGTAAGAGAAAAGTCCATACTTTACGGCGGTTATCATGAAATTTGCGAAAAAAATTTACTCCACCCCGTAGTGTGTCAAACTATGCAAATTTAAAAAAAAACATCCTTATTTTTTAAAAAACGTCAGAAAGGGGTAAGATAGATTCAAAATCCATTAAAAGCTTCGTAAAATACAGACTTTACCCTTGAGAATAAAAAAAAAACTTTTAAATACAACCATTTTTCGCGGAGTTACGCTTATTCGAATTTATGCGATAATTTTGTTGACGAGTGTATTTCATCTTTTTTTTAAATATAAAACACTTCCGTAATATATATTACATTATCTAAATTAAAAGTAATATCTAAGATTATTTTTTTTATAACGTGCAAGTTTAACTCTTTCGATAACCCTTTTTTTGCGACGTGACAATATGTATCCCTGGAAACCGTTTCATTTCCATTTGAAACATTTTTTCGTATTAATAAAAATAATCGAAATATTTAAGATATTCAATTTAAATGGATAACTCTGTATGTAAAAAGAAAACAAGTCTCCTCTTTTTATGTTCTTGTATGTAAAATTTTAGATACTGAAAAAAAGAGAAACGGAAGATAAAGATTTTGAAGTATGTAAAAAAAGTGAACGCAAAAGAGTAACTTATCAGCGTAATTTTTCAAAACAACTAAATAAGTCATATAACATGGGATATCACGAATGAAGGATTTCTTCGTAAATAATCAAGAATCTTTGTTATTATGTCATGTTTATTTTCTATCACAGCTGTAAAAGGTAATTACGATCAAAATAGTCGCTGTCAATACTTGAGAACTGAAGGTTTAATATAACTTAACGTTATGGTTGGATCTTCCTTTCCTACGATTCCATGTTCAATAGAAGAAACTATAGCAAAAAAAACAGAATTGAACGTGATTATTAATAAACATGGAGTGAAAAAATTAGCGAAAGAGGTTTGATCTATTTTCCTTTATCTTTTTTTAAAAATTTAAAATAATCCAGGATTGTTAATAATTTTTTCGTGATTCTTCGAAGAAAGCGAGCGAAAGATAGAGATAGAAAGAGAGAGAGAGAGAGAGAAAGAAAGCGAGCAAAAGTTACATTAGACACAACATTTGAAAATATAATTAAATTTTAACGTTGCAATGTAATGAGAAATAAAGTTAATTAAAATTAAGTATAGAACAAAATATTTTATTTCATAAATTTTACGAGTTTTTCGATTATTATTTCGCGATGGTTTATTTCAAATCAGGTGACGATTTTAAACAAGTGAACACGTACAAAGAAAAACATTTTAAAGATTAATTATATAAAAATCCATTTATTTTGTATCTTTGACTTATTCCTTTTGACTTTAAATATAAACTGTGCCTGGAAGTCAAAGAATCTCACATGTCATATATTATGGAATATAATATGATTTTTAAAAATAGAAATCAAATAAAATTCTGCAATCAATTAAAATTTGTATCACAAAGCAAAAAAAGTTCTATTGAACAATATATTTTAATAGGTGGTAAAGTTCATGCTATCTGATGATAAGTATACATGTACCTTTATACGACAATTACCCGAGCTCTATCCTTCTTTTTTCGATATTAAAGCTGGGGATTGGCTATTTTTATTGCACACGTTAAATTTTTCGCTCCGGATACCAAATAGTACTAAACAATGGACAGTTAACAATTACACGGGATTCTGGGCATTATGTGCCGCCATCAAAAGAGCTATCGATGTTAGTCTAACTCAACCTTTTTACTTTTATTTTCTTTATCTTTAAATGATATTCATGAATATAAAGATTTTGTTATATTATACACTTATACAGGAGAGAATTTTCTTTTAAAATTTACCCTGAAAATATGATAGTTGTGATACAATACAATATTTTAAACATTTTTACCATGCACTTTAGTAAAATTGATCAAACTTATTTTATACTTTATTGTAGCTTTATTAATGAATGAAAGAGATTTATATTAAAATTCTTCGAAATACAATGTTGTCCCACGACTGTCATATTTTCAGGTTAAATTCTAAGAAAAAATTCTCTTCGTGTATGTATTCATATATATGCTGTATTATTTTATATATATTATTACTAGCAATATGGTATATTACACACTGTTGCTTTAATTAGCATAAAGTTTACTATTAGTTTACTATTACTTTATATTTCTCAATTTTTCTTTCTGTTAATGATGTTTATCTGTCAATTTCCTGTTTTTCAATTAATTTTTTATTCTTATAGTTACAAAATTCCTCCTTGATATTTGTATCTATAATACAATTAATGTATTTTTCGTTTTATTCATTTCTAAATTGCATTCTATAATCAAATTGCCGTTGGAAATTATATTATATAGTTTGAAAAAACATATATACAATATATAAAATATATACGCATGTCACAGTATAACATATCATACTGTTTTTTTCTAAAATTATTTAAACAAATCTATATCTCTAGCAACTTCTTAATTATGTAAAATATAATTTTTGAGATAGGATAAAAAATTAATTTGGAATCCCAATTATTATATGACTATTGCATCGGCGGAGATGAAATACATTTTTCGAGGTGATGATGAAATTATCCTTCCATATTTAGAAGAAAGACGTATTATTTTGCATCGCGTCGGAAAAACTTTAAAGAAGAAATATGGAGGTATGTATAATTAAAGAAATATTGTATCCAAAAAAAAGATGCTTAATTCTTGATCAAGTTTTTTGAACATGAAGTGACTAAAAGTCGATTACATGTTGACTGAAGAAGTCAAGAGTCAACTTTAAAATCAGCTCAACTAATAGTCGACTCTCGGCAAATGTTCTGAAAATAGTCGATTGTTAGTCAATCTTCCAAGTCGACTGTAAATTAACTGTAAATTGACCCAAACACGAAATCGACTGAAAGTCCACTCTAAATTGAATGAGAAGTCAAGACTCTTGATTCAAGAGTCAACTCCCTGTTTAAAATTTACTAAAGAAAACTATATACGATCACAAATGCATTAACATCATACATATTTTTCGTAATTATAAAAAAATTGGTGTTTATAAATGTCACACGAGTATAAAACATTAAAATATCAAAAAAATAATAATGAAAAAATTAGTAAAATTTTAAGGACATTTACAAAAATATAAATACTATCAAAGGAAAGAGGTTAATTACAGGACACCTAATACATATACAGCTAATAGATATTATAAATATATATATATAAAATACATGATATATGTGAGACAGTTGAAAGATTTTGTTGTTTTGCAGGTTTTTTTATAAATTGCATAAGAAAATCCGAATATGATGCAGATAAATTGACGAAAATGCTCTTTGGATTTGAGTCCTATCAAGATGAAGTAATATTTCGTGGAAAATCAAGTAATTATTATTATATTAATCTCTAATAGCATAGGAACTCCTTGCCAGCTAAACGGGATGATCATAGGACGCCTGTGAACTATGAAATGAACGAATTTTTCATAATATCCTAAACATGTCCTATATATGTCCCCTATTCAGGATTATCCTGAAGACATCTTGTGCTGTTAGGGGTTGTACTATTCAACAATATGCAATAGATTCACAGAATTTTTATATCAATATATTCGTACTTAATTTAATATAACATTAAGCTAAGATATATTGAAGCTATTATGCTTGAACATATTTGAATGCAAGCATTACAAAATATCTGTCTTGGACATATTTGAATTGTCTTACGAATAATTGAAGTTCATAAAACAAGAACTAAACTTCGAATGTACATTTGTGAAATAATAATAATTGCTAGTGATGTGATCTCTTTTTTTTGTAATAAAATTATTTAAATAATATTTTACTTAAATTATTACAAAAATTATTTAATTAATATTTTACATAGACTGTATTAAAAAAATCGTTTTTTTGAACTTTCTTTTAGTTCGCCTCTGTACCAAGGCCAAATTATTAATAAGTGATTTACGAACTTATTTTCCTATTAGTTCAAAAAGTTCAGTGAAGACGTCTACGTTATTAATTGATTACCGTGCCATTCAAGTTCTCTTGCATTTTAAAGCTATTCGATATACAGAGAGTCTCCAGCTTCTTTTGAGTAAGATATTTATCGTTAAACTTTTTATAAATGGTAAATGTTCTCTAGGAAACTCCGTTTTGAGAATATTATGACTGATGAATGTAAATAAAAAAATTTTCTAACCCCTGTACCACATTTAAATTGTCGTAATGCAATATAGTATTGTATATATTTATAATACAAGTAATTTTTGTAACAAACATTACTTGATCTATCCTATCTATTTTATGATTTACTTAGCATTTACCACGAAGGAAGCTTTATAATTTCACATGAATTTATTGGCTATTGACATTTTCCACATTGTGTGTAAATTTGAATTTTTTGATAGAGAGAACCTTTTTTGGTCCCAATTAATTTTTTTACGGAAGGTTTGTATTGTAATAAAACTCATTCTTTTTCTAGCGGATGGTATAATGTTATGTCACGGTGATACAGAGGAAGTGGAAATACGCTGTTGCTTGATATATGCAGTTCAAATGGTGTGTAATGAAGTGCGGAAAATATGCGCGGGGTACAAAGGAAGCATGATCGCCCAAAACACACGGATGTCTCATATTTTGACAATAGTCGATAATTTCATATTTCATTATCAAATGAAGCACAGTGATTATTTGATGGAAACAGTACCATTTCATTACATTAGAAGTACAATGTATTAGAATAATTATATCACCGTGAGTTCACGAGTGATTGATGCATGCAAGATACCCAGTGAACACAAGTTACGTGTAACGTACCTGTGTGTTGTAATTTTCCACTCAACAATATAACTATAATATAAAAACGAAATATGTTATATGTGTTATATTACAGTTGTATTGTTGAGTGGGAAATTACAACCAACAGTTATGTTACATCTAACTTTGTGTTCATTGGGCAAAAATTGTCCTTCGTATATTTTTGTAAAATTTTTTATTAACGAACCATTTTTTATTAACGAATCATTTTACTATAATAATTCAAAGACTGATAGAATTGGATCTTATCATTAAATAATTTTTTTATTAAAATGTTTCTTTTAGTAAAAGACTTTGCTAAAAATTTCTTCACTAAAAAAAGACTTTGCTAAAGATCTTTTTAGTACAAAGTTTCTTTTAACATTTAATTGTAATTGTTCAAAATATAATTATTTGATTAAAAGTTATAATTTTTCTGTTCTAATAATTTCTGCATTTGAAATTACTTTTTATAAAAATAAAATATATTATATTCTATACAATATCAAACATGACTCGTTTTGAACACGATAATTGTTATGAAATTTTTGATTGTCAATTTTGGACGAAAATTGTGTTTAACGCAAATTTTAATATAAAAGATTAGATAATTATATTTTGAAATGTATTATATATGTGTATGCATGTATATGTATATATATATATATACACACTAGTGTATATGTATGTACATATATATACATTTAATTTCACTTTTTATACTATTTTATTTTTGGATATTATGAAAGAAATATAATAAAGTATACAAAAATAGATAGTTAAAAAGACTGTACTGAAACTGCACAAAAGAAAAAGAAAAATGGATTATTCTTTATAATTCTTTCTTTTATATATATGGTATGTATGTTATCCTAACTTCTTATTGTTTCTTCTTCTGCATATCTACTCGTATTTTATTTTAAGAGATGGAATATAAAATTGTTCAACGGTATTATTTGTATCAAGAAGTTAAACCTGCTTTTTAAATAGTTATTATGTAATTATACATTGTTTTATTTCAATTGGTATCATATTTTTAACTTGATATTTTTAACTTATTCAATAAAACTCACATTGCATTATGGATTTGAATATAATTTACTTATTACTTTTTTTAGATTAAGAATGCAGAATAAAACGTATTAATGACAGAATTCAGCAGTTCAAAAGTAAAAAAATAGCAAAGCATCAATCTTTTTCCTTTTATATAACTAGAAATCGGTCCGAGTTATCGGATAGTGAGATTGGAAAAGTGTGCACATGGACGTCCAGGGGGTGGGGCCTCCCCTGGTCGAGAGACGCGTTGAATAAAAACGTATGTTGGTGGGATTAAAATTTTAAAACACAAAGATACACAAAAAAATAACAAATAAAAAACCCGCCCAAAAAAAAAACGAAATACCTTCTTCGATATACACCTACCTTGTCGAGATGAGGAAGTTTTTAACTAAAAAGTGTAAACATTAGAAATGAATAAGTGACGAAAAAAAGTTCATCAACTCGACACTGTAGAGATTGTAGGATCACCAATAGGAAGGAAATATTTTAACATTTTTTCCTTATGTGTGGCAAGACTCTCCCTTAGAAAAAATCCTGCAGACGCCAGTGAGTATGCACACATGATATTATTATAATAGTATATGATCAATTATGTAAAACACTTTTTCACAAAACGGAGAACGTGAATCATAGCATACTACATTTATATTTTCGATCATGTCATGGAAAAATGGACAAACGTTCCCCATGTGAATTAAAGCAATGAGTACTGAGATTATTCCTTTCAAAGACAAGTATGCAATGATCAATCTTATTATGTTTCGACTGGTAGGTGCTAGGACTGTCTTCAAAAGGAGATAGTCCTAAAACTTATTAATCAAATTTCAATCAAGGATGTCGTCCAATACGGACTCTTGTCTTTTTTCGAGAACAGTCCCAGCACTCACTGAACGAAAGTGGATCAATTAATTGTAAATGCAATTTTGAGTAATGGTACTCACCATCTCTCCTTTCATCGTGAAGTATCTCTTTACCATTTAAAACCTTTAATTTCGCTATTCTTGCAATTATCAATTGTCGAGCAGTCTCTACAGTTCTGTTCTCCAAAATAGGATTTCCTCTGAATTTTAAGTTTTTTAGATTTGATAGTTTATCCAATTCATGAATTGCCACTAAAATTGTCAGAAATTTTAATTGTATCAATACAGAAAATATATTTTTTCGATTATTATCTATGAAAATTTATTATTTCTGATATGTGATTTTCCGAAATAAGTACTTGACGTAGCAATGAAGCGTAGGAAATGAAGCAGCCTCATCTGTTGATGTTGAAGATGAAAATCTAATTCTTTCTATTTTGTTTAAATTGAAATTAAGATATTCTAAGCTGTAAAGAGTTTCTCTAACTTATATAAAATATAAATTTTATGCTTTTTAAAAAATAAAAGATAATTATTCAGTTGAACTCCCACCTAAAAAAATCAATGAAATCAACGAAATCTTACTTGATGCGTTTTTGCATGAAATGAAAGAATCTGGCAATAAAAAACATCGCTCTGTCCCACGAATCGAGATATTAAGTGTTAAAGTTGACTACTATTGAGGTTAGAAAATTTGTCACAGAGACGAAAGGTCTACAATTGTAATGTTGCACATGGATTTCGACTTTTCACGCAAAACGGTTCTTACCTCCGACTTTCGCCCCTCTATCCCCTGCAAAAGGACACGAAATTTCTATAATTATAATTATAGAAGTAGTGGCCCCTTTGCAGGGAGAGAAGGGGTGAGAATAACGTGGTGAGTTTCGCGCCAAACGGCCATTTGCAAGAGGGCAGGGGTGGGTGAGAGTCGCGCGCTCCTTTGCAGGGTGGAGGGGAGGATGAGAGTGCCGTTTTGAACTCGTCCATTGATTGGCTATCGCGCCAACTTCCGCCGCGCGGCAAGCGTTGCCGCGTTCTGTGCGCAAGAGTGCAACTATTGACGGTCAAACATTCGTGCAAAGCATGTGTGTTTCGTGAAATTGAAATTTTTTTTTTAATACCAAACAGTTACAATATTTGCACTGATAATATTTGAAAAAAAATTAATACTTATATCATTGTTTATTTCAACATACAAAAAAATCATACTGTTTATTTTTTTTTTGTACTTACATCACGACGTATTGAATCTTCCCTAATCTCCATGTCCAAATTTTTTTATTTGGTTTCAACACTATCAATTCCAACTTGGTAGGTTAAGCAAGGTAAGCATTTGTAGTGACAACACAGGCAACACGACCATAGCCGTAAACGCATACGGGAAAGGTACAGAAAAATACGGAAGAGATTCGAATCACGCATCCTCCGTCCCGCATGCTGATTCCCGTATCGTGTGATTTCACCCTAAAGCCCGTATCAGACTACCAATTCTGGCTGTTGACCAATAATGGACCAATCACATTGAATCAGTCTTATTGTGATTGGTCCATTATTGATCGGCAGTCAGAGTTGGCAGTCGGGTCGGCCTGTAGTCTGATACAGACTTAAGGCCGGAATCAGACTACGCGTTGAAGATTGAGGTTGAAAATTGAAGATTGAAATTTGACCAATAAGGACAAAGCAATTTTAGCTCCTTTCGTTTCGATTGGTCAAATTTGAATTTTTCAATCTTCAATATGTCAGGAACCAAAAGCAAGAACCAATCGTATTGAAGAATTTTACAACAGTTGCAAAGCTGCTTTCTCTGCTGAACGCAGCCAATGAGTAGTCTGATTCTGGACTAAGTCGATTCGAAAAAATACGGAGATATTCGTAGGCCGGATTTAAAAAATTTGTAGAAAAATCCGTAGGTAATGCAAAACCACTGACAAGATAGCAGACAAATTGAATATTTCTGATATATTTATATCTATATAATTTGGAAATCATTTGGGGAAATTTGGGAAAAGCATTTAAACATTTGGGAAATAGTATTTTTCTTGTAATTAACAAATTTTATCTTGCGTCAAGTTAGCAGACAGCGATTTTATTTAATGTGTTTTATGAATGGAATCGATTATAGAAATTATTTGGAGAAGTACATACAAAGGCTCTTGGTGAAAAATTTTTCTCAGATCTTATTTCTATAATTTTTCAGAATATCTGTGTGATTTTATAATCTTTTCAGATTTTTTTATAACAATTGGAATACTTTTCATAGATATTTAGAATGTCTACATCTTTTTTCAGAATTTTTAAATTTGGTAATTATGAAGTATCCTAAGATTTTTATTATTTTTTGTTCTACATATTTCTGATAAAGTGTTATAAAATCTAAAATATTAGGTGCGCAACTAAGTTCCCGCTGTTTGTCAATAGATGGTTCAAGCAGTAAGTGCTGGTCGATTCTGACATAATCTAAACGTCATGAACCAAGCTTAGACATATGGTAAACAAACCGCTTCG